GTTCCACGCTCGCACACAAATTTTCACAAATCATAAGCCGCGCATCAAATCAAATTTATTTGTACAATGCAGTGTCCTTCCATCACTGTCCTTTCTGTTCATTTTCTGAAGAAGAAAGCAAAGTTGTCACCATCATTATATATAACATCTTCATAACTTTTCTTTACAAATCTACGAATCTGTTTCCCTTCCAATTTCATCAGGGTACACTTGCAACGCCTTTGCAAACAAAATGAAAATAATTACACAGGTCATTTATAATTTTTTCATGAGAAATTAATTAAGGAAAATAAATATTAAAAGGAAAAAACCTAGGTAGTCAAGTTTCTTAGAACCATTACATCCATTGTTCCAATCAGATTTTATCACTTGTCTTATTTTTCTGCATCAGCTTGGGATTAAATTAATGCTTATGAGAATGTGTGTGTGTGTTTATAAAAATTATTGCATACACACATAGTGACAGAATTCAATTGAAACAAGAGATGTAATAGTTGTAAGGAATTTGACCAAAGTTTTGTGGATATTAAAATTGTGTGTAATATATACCTGTGCATGTGCATGTCGTCTTTCCTCTAATCTGAAGCTCACAGTTTTGTGCTTTAACTCTCCTCTACCAGTGGTGGCCTCGTCTAATATCTCATCATCACCCATTTCCCTTGATCCATTGCTTGCAAATTCCATTTCCTTCATCATAACAACCGCCCACAAAAGAAAATCACAATTTTTAAATTTATATAAGAAAATATACTTCTCAATTCACCAAAAAAAAATTGACAAACAAGGTCTATTTAATAAATCATAGCGGTTTTTTTTGTAATTGTTACTAATAATTTTATAGTGGGAAAGTTTGAGTTTTTAATATCAGCCTAATTAGACTTCACCTTACTTTTATCACTTGAACTTGAACTAGTCTCATATGGCAAAATTTAATGTGATTTTATAAGTTGATGAAATGCATGCTCAGCATATTAAGAGAAAATTATTAAAAATAATCCAGATAAACAGTGCAATTGATGAATAAGGGAAAAGACTAGAGAAGCATACGAAATCATGAGTGGAGTTAGTTACCCGGGAAGAGGGATGACGGAAGGAAAGGCCTGGTGTGCCAACAATTTCTTCATATTCAGCGGAATCGAGTTCCTTCAAATGGCGAGAATTGAACAGTTTTGGCAGTATAAACTGTCTTATTGGGATCATCAAGAAGAAGGGCAAAGGAAACAAGATTCCTGCTATGGGAATCCAAGTCACTCCAAAACAAACCAGCAGATAGACAAATTGGAACAGAGTGAAGTGTATTATGGCTCTGACTGGTACTGTCTCTAAAAAGGAAGCATGGTCCCCTTTCAACACTCTATATATCATCATTTCAACAACACAAAATGATCAGTCCGACAACGATTATCATCAATAATGATGTAAATTAGAACTGATTCATTATAGTTTCATCAGTTAAATTTTGGACTTACCTGTAGCGTCTGTTAGGGGCTGCAAAGATAAATACTATTCTTTCCCAGAACTGATTTCCAGGAAGACTATCAATAGCCATGTAAGCAAAGTACCCCCCAAAGAACTGAAGTGGGTATCTTCTTGATCACAGGCATGGCAAACACAGATCCTCCTACAAGTATTGCTTGCAACAGATTGCTCACTCTTTGCTCGTTCACTCTGATGGGAAGATGTTCATCGATGTGTTTCTCAGGGTCAAATGGATCATTTTTCTCTTCTCCTTTCAGGACTGCTTCTTTTAGGTTCTCTAGTTCTTTCACAGCTGAACTCTGAAAGACAGAAAAAATAATCTTCTTACTCAGCATCAAGAAAGGGATGCGACTGACTTATAATTTAATGGGATCTGGCGATGATGATGGTGATGATAATAACTTACAATTGGGCTTTTGTCCATTTCTACAAACACTGCTTGCATGTTTCCATAGATCTCAGAATTGCTTGCATTGTGCTTTATGCTTTCTTTGGCACTTTCCACCATCTTCCTTCGAATCACCTATAACTCCAGATTTACCCATTCAAAATAAAAGCCAATATATATAGTCCAAATGATAGGAATCTAGGAGGTAATTCTGTCCATTTACACGATACTGGCCAATCGGGAGAATTAAACCCCACCATTTTTATGGGGTTCTAGCTTATCATATTTTCTATTTTCAGGTTTTTATACTACTGTTGATAGAGAGCAGGATTGAGATCTCATCAACGCACCTGTTTCTTGAGAACAGCCAGGCTTTTGGTGTGCATGGGGGATTGAGGAAGAACTCCATTGGAAGGCGGCAAACCAACCAACCCACAAAGCAAAGTCTAAAAATTTCTTCATGGGATCAGTGACAAGATAGTTTCACAATCAAAACACGACTCTTGTATATTAATTAGAGAGAGAAACAAAGTGGCATATATACTACCATGAATCCCAGCAACATCACATCATAATGATAGGCCGAAGGCTTCTTCAGATTGAATTCCCTCTGTTGTGCCAATTGAGAAGCAACGCTATGATCGAAGAAGTAAAGACCTGCGATCATCAATGCAGGAATTATGGCACCAAAAATATATGCAGGTGGGACCTTCGCCATGTCCTGCGCCAAATATTAAATCAAATTATGTTTATTACTGAAAACATTATATTGCATGTATATATGCAACTTAATTTTGTTTAGGGGAAACATATATAGAATACATTGATAACACTCCAATGCTGTACAGAAGCAGACTCCCAAGCAAGGGGAGAAACAAGCCTTCTAGGAACTCCAGAGGGAAGTTTTCTTGGTACTGCATAGGACAGTGCTGCCCAGAGTATCACCATTAAGGGCACCCCGTAGTCTGCAAAGAAGCTTCTTAACTTGCCTGTACAAATTAAGTTCACTATGTGAGCTTCCAAGCTCATCCAAGGCTTTAATGGCTCGATCAAGTCATTATTTAGTGAAATATTATGAGCATAGCTTATACAAGAACACGTAACTATATATAGGGGTAGTTTGAAAAATAAATAAGAAATATGGGAGATAAAGTGGATGGAAGTCTTGTAAATAAAACAAAAACAAACTCCTCAATTTATTAACTCCTACATCTAATTGACATGCTCATCCGTGGCTAGTTTTGTTATAGCCAACGGGCTTATTTATCTGCTATCTGATGTTATACTATATGGTATGGAATATATCACCTGTGCCGTATAACGAAGATCTAGCTTTTTTGATCTTGAGAGAAGAAAAGAGGAGGCCAAAAGTGAATATAATTCCCAATAACCCATTTGCATAAAGCCAATGGAACTTGTTCTTCTCCAATTCTGGGTCTTCATCATGTTCAGGAACTTTAAACTCACTCACCATTCCCTGCGTTTTATTAGAAGAATCAAGTTCAAACTTTCGAACTCACTATAGTGATCTCCCATGTATGCCGAATTTTCTGTACATATATGCATCAAATTAGATTTACCTTAATGGCCTCTTGAATGAACAAGACTGTGATCAACATGCCAAAAAGCTCGTCAGCAATTCTGGTGAATTTATTAACAATAGCGCCGGCATTGAATATTGCTAAAAGTATCAACATCAAAGCCGCCCAAAGGCAGGTCCTGATGAGAAGTTCATAAATCTCAATTAAAGAGACCCACCGATCATATGTGTGTGTGTGTGGGGTCGCAAAGGCAATCTTGATTCAACTCCTCAGAGAATAGCCATTTAAAAGTTATATATGAAAAAAGTTGCATTGACATGGACAAATAATTGACTGCTACAAGCTCTACAATCGACTGTATGTTCGACTTAAAATAAGTAAGGAACGCTCAACAGTTAACCGTTTTTGACAGTTATGCACCTTCAAGAAAGTTTCTCATGTTTTGCTTGGGTGAGAAGAGTAAATGAGAGAAGAGAAAAATAAAATTCTGTCCTCATGTTTCGATGAAAAGGAGGAGAATATATAAAGGAATGGAAAAACACTAGCAATTAATAATACCCATATAAACTTTTGGTATTTTCCTAGCAAACAATATTAGCCTAGTATTTTGCCATCATCACAATAATGATGTTTATTCAACAATAAAGAAATATAAAGAATTTAAAAAAAAAAACACACAAAAAGGCATGAAAACACACCCTGGAGGCTTCAACTTCTTGGGTCATTAATTTACAAACATAGATCGATCTCAACAAAATAATTATTATCCTCATCATTTTATTATTAAAAAAATTGAATTTTTAACCATGAAAATGAATTATGTTGGTGGTGCTAGCGCTTACCATCCAGCCCAAGGCAAAAAGAGTTGCCTTCCCAAGTCATTCCTATCTTTGGCGAAATTGTACAAGCATACATGATGATGGTGGGTTCTGCAATCCCTACTATGAGCAAAGGTTGGCCTCCAATAATTGAGTGTATGATTCCACATATTGCAGTTGAGGCCAATGTTTCTACTGGGCTCAACATCCCATCTTCAGACAATCACCACCATATCTCACAAATTAATCAAAGACATGTCCAGTATATATATATAATAAATACTCTAAGGCATAGTGATGGAAACTACAAAGCACAATATAAATAATATACATCTAGATATTGAAAACGGGATTCATCAAGATTAAAATAATATAACTAAATTAAAATACACAAAAACGTTCATATATAACCCTCAATAGTAATATTTCAATAAAAAGATATCAATTCACACATAATGTAACAAAACAGAATTATTAAAGCACATATTTGAGAAAAGCTCAAAATGGTATCGTTTTAGGCTCAATAAGGGAGAGAGGGGGGGAAAAAATATAAATCCGACTTAGTTGAGCATTCCAAAACTCTTAATTATCAGATTGAGGAGACCGATTTAAACGGTTCACTAGCTGACCACCACTCTATTCAAGTTCGATTTTAATACTATTACATGGACACACAATCTATGAAATTTTAAAACAAGAAGATTAAATAGCACAACATTTTGAGTCCAAGAAATAGTTTTTGTCTTATATTATGCAGATTGGTCGAGGAAGAACCTGTGTCTCTATCAAGCTGTTCTCCAAAGGCTATAACGGGAAGAGCAGAAGCAAAGAAGATAAAGGCAGTTGGAGCCAATATCCTATTATCATCATAGAGAGAGAGGGAGGGAGAGAGATAAGTAAGAAATTTGAACCAAGAGGCATCATATATCTGTGTGTGTGCGCCCTTTGAAATATGAAGTAAGAAATTCTTAAAATACCCGATTCCTGAACGTAGACCAGAAATCCAATCATCCTTGTAACACTTTGCTCTTCCTCGAACATCATTAACTACGCCCTTCAAAGGTGTCTTCAAGCTCTCCATTAACAGATCAATAAGAGTTTTTAATGACTCAAATCAAATCGGGCTCTACAATAAGATTTGAACCTTTATATATATATAATATATATATATATAATCTCACAATAGAGAGCAGATGAATTATTAAATGATGGGAAGGAAATATATAACTCAAGTAGCAGAGCGAAACGATACAAGTTCATACCTGAGAAATAGAAGTGCCTTATACATATATAATGCGCTTCAGGAGTTACCATTATATATGGAATTAAAATTGTACGATGAAAATTATACATAAGCATCTATCCCAGATTTTGCACCGATCAAATTGATTGACTACTTGACATTGTAATTGAATATTATATATCTCACCAATTAAATTATATGGTTTGGTTACCAGATAAGTACATTATATTCAACTTGTAAAATATATAATAATCATCACAATTTAAGTTATATACGCAACCATTTTTTTTATTTTCTGGTCAAATGATGCCTCTTAGCGAACATGATAACGTACTGAAAAGCATCGTGATTGATGCTTACTTGTTCAGAGAGGAAAATAAAAAAAAATATTGATTCCTCCTATGTTATATATGTATATATCATCAGAGAGAGGGGGAGAGATCATATCAGTTTTCTGTGGGACTTGCATGTGTGGCCGCATCAGTTTGCATAGAGAGCGGGGAGAAAATTACAAAACTAATAATTGTTTTTTGTTTTTTCTTCACACTAACGTAATTGCAAACCAAATTTTCTCCGTACTAGAAACTTCTGATTTACAAGTCTCCTCGTGTGGAATCAAATTTAGGACCATATTGATGTTTGATTATTGAATTGGTCTGTCTCAAAAATTTAACGAAGAACCCAGGTGCTCTCCACGAGTGGGCGTAGCTGGTAAAGTAGCTGAAGAGGAGGAAATATAAAATATAAAATATATATATGGCAGGTTATGCGGGCTATCCTGCAGGTTAGATGGTATGGATTGTCTTAACCTGTATTTTGTTGGGCTGGAAAAAAGCCAACCTTAACCCGCCTCTTTACGGGAGGTTGGCAGGCTCGTCTGCAAGTCACAACCCATATTACTTACTGACTCTAGCATATTTGATTTGTTTCGGGTAAAAAGACACAAGTTTGAATCCTACTTGTTAAAAAAGACGATCTTGGGAGGATTCTACTTGTTCTGTTTCGGCTGAGAGATATCTTAGTTTCTAACCAAAAAAATTTAACGAAATGAAATACATGACTTAGATGAATCAAATATAGTTTAAAAAAGATCAATATATATGTATATATATATAGTGAAAAGATTTACAAGTATTTGTTAGAGTTGTCCAGCTCATCTACAATATTTTAAAA